TTAGTATAACTAGATCTAGGTTACTGAATGAGTCATTTGTATAACTAGATCTAGGATAATTTATTAGCCCTCTAGTATAACTAGAACTAGGTTACTGAATGAGTCTTTTAGTAGAAAACGAACTAGGATACTGAATGAGTCATTTGTATAACTAGATCTAGGATAATTTATTAGACCTCTAGTATAACTAGAACTAGGTTACTGAATGAGTCTTTTAGTAGAAAACGAACTAGGATACTGAAGGAGTCATTTGTATAACTAGATGTAGGATACCGAATGAGTTTACTAGAATAACTAGAAGTAGGATACTGAATGCGTTATTCAGTATAACTAAAACTAGAATATTAAATGAGTATTTTAGTAATATCCTAGTTCTCGTTATTCTAGAAGACTCGTTTAGTATCCTAAGTCTAGTTATACTAAAAGACTCATTCAGTATACTAGCTCTAGTTACCCTAATACATTATCCTAGATCTAGTTATACTAAAAGATTCATTGTGTATCGTAGATCTAGTTACAGTATATGAATCAATCAGTATATTAGTTCTAGTTATACTAAATGACTCATTCAGCTCTTATATAATTATAACTAGGATACTGAATGATTTTTTTGTGTAACTAGATATGGGATACTAAATGAGTCCTCTAGCATAACTAGATATAGGAAAATATAATAGTTTTCTAGTATAACTAGATCCAGGACACTGAACGAGTATTTTAGTAATACTAGATCTTGAGTAATATATTAGTCATCTAGTATAATAAGACTAGGATATTGAATGAGTGTTTTAGTATAACTAGAACTAGGATACTGAATGAGTCTTTTAGTGTAACTAGTTATAGGATACTCAAAGGGTCTTCTAATAGAACTAGAACTAAAAAACTGAATGAGTCTTTAAGTGTAACTAGATCTAGGATACTGAATTTGTCTTCTAGAACAAGTCTTTTAGTATAATTAGAACTAAAACACCGAATGAGTGTTCCAGTATAACTAGATCTAGGATTCTGAATGAATCTGTCAGTATAAGTAGATCTAGAATAATGTATTAGTCCTCTTGTATAACTAGGATACTGAATAAGTCCTTCAGTATAACTAGGATACTGAATTAGTCTTTTAGTATAATTAGGATACTGAATGAGTCTTTTAGTATAACTAGATCTAGGATACTGAATGAGTCGTCTAGAATAACGAGAACTAGGATACTGAATGAATCATTTAGTATAACTACCACTAGGATACTGAATGAGTCATTTAATTTAACTAGAACTATAATACTGAATGGGTCTTTGAGTATAACTAGATCTAAGATAATGTATTAGTGCTCCAGTATAATTAAATCTAAAATACTGAATGAGTCTTTTAGTAATGCTAGAGAGAGGATACTGAATGAGTATTTTAGTTTAACTAGATATATGATAATGTATTAACATTCTTGTATAACTAGAAGTAGGATACTGAATGAGTATTCTTCTATAACTAGATCTAGGGTACTGATTGATTCAGTATCCTTGTTCTAGATATTCTAGAAAATTCATTCAGTATCCCAGATCTAAGTATATAAAAAAACTCATTGAGTATCCTAGTTCTAGTAAAAGAAGACGAGTAATACAATATTCTAGATCTTGTTATACTAAAATATTCATTCAGTATCGTAGATCTAATTACACTGAATAAATAAGTCTTTTTGTATAACTAGATCTAGGATACTGAATGAGACTTCTAGAATAACAAGAACTAGGATATTGAATGAGTCTTGTAGTATAACTAGAACTAGGATACTGAATTAGTCTTTTAATATAACTAGATATAGGATACTGAATGAGGTTTGTAGTAAAACTCGATCTAGGATACTGAATGAGTCTTCTAGAAGAACGAGAACTAGGATAATGATTAAGTCTTTTAGTATAACTAGATCTACGATACTGAATGAATCGTTTAGTATAACTAGATCTAGGACACTGAATGAGTCTTTTAGTATAACTAGATCTGGAGTAATGTTTAGGCCTCTAGTATAACAAGACTAGGATACTGAATGAGTCTTGTAGTATAACTAGAACTAGAATACTGAATGAGTCCTTTAGTCTAACTATATCTAGGATACTGAATGAGTCTTCAAGTATAACTAGATTTAAAATAGTGAATGAGTCTTTTAGTATAATTAGAGCTATGATACGGAATGAGTCTTTTATTAGAGCTAGAACTAAGATACTGAATGAATCGTTTAGTATAACTAGATCTGGAATAATGTTTTAGTTTTCTAATATACCTAGTTCTAGGATAATGATTTAGTTCTCTAGTATAATTAAATCTAAGATACTGAATGTGTCTTTTAGTATAAGTAGATCTAGAATAATATATTAGTCCTCTTGTATAACTAGGATACTGAATAAGTCTTTTAGTATAACTAGGATACTGAATTAGTCTTTTAGTATAATTAGGATACTGAATGAGTCTTTTACTACAAATAGAACTAGGATACTGAATGAGTCTTCTAGTATAACTAGATCTAAGATAATGTATTAGTCCTCCAGTATAATTTAATCTGAGATACTGAATGAGTCATTTATTATAATTAGATCTACGACAATGAATGAATCTTTCAGTATAACTAGATCTAGGATAATGTATTAGTCCTTTAGTACAACTAGATCTACGATACTGATTGAGTCTTTCAGTATAACTAGATCTACGACACTGAATGAATCTTTCAGTATAATTAAATCTAGGATAATGTATTAGTCCTCTTGTATAACTAGGATACTGAATAATTCTTTTAGTATAACTAGGATACTGAATGAGTCTTTTAGTATAACTAGATCTAGGATACTGATTGAGTCGTTTAGAATAACTAGATCTAGAATACGTTGTTAGTCCTCTAGTATAATTAGATCTAGGATATTGAATGAGTGTTCTAGCATCAATAGATTTATGATTCTGAAAGAGTCTTCTAGAATATCGAGAACTAGGATACTGAATGAGTCATTTAGTGTAACTAGATCTAGGTTAATGTATTAGTCCTCCAGTATAATTAAATCTAAGATATTGAATGAGTCTTTTAGTATAACTAGAGCGAGGATACTGAATAAGTATTTTAGTATAACTAGATCTAGGATAATGATCGAGTCATTTAGTTTAACTAGAACTAAGATACTGATTGAGTCATTTACTTTAATTAGAACTGGGATACTGAATGAGTGTTCTAGTATAACTAGATCTAGGATACCAAATGAGTCATTTAGTATAATTATATCTGCGACACTGAATGAATCTTTCAGTATAACTAAATCTAGAATAATGTATTAGTCCTTTAGTACAACCTGATCTACGATATTGAATGAATCTTTCAGTATAACTAGATCTACGACATTGAATGAATCTTTCAGTATAACTAGATCTAGGATAATGTATTAGTCCTTTAGTATAACTAGATCTTCGATACTGAATGAATCTTACAGTATAACTAGATCTACGACACCGAATGAATCTTTCAGTATAACTAGATCTAGGATAATGTATTAGTCCTTTAGTATAACTAGATCTTCGATACTGAATGAGTATTTCAGTATAACTAGATCTAGAATAATGTATTAGTCCTCTAGTATAACTAGAACTAGGATATTGAATGAGTTTTTTTTGTATAACTAGATCTACGATAATGTATTAGTCCTTTTGTATAACTAGAACTAGGATACTGAATGAGTTATTTAGTATAACTATATCTAGGATACTGAATGAGTCTTCTAGTAGAACTAGATCTTGGATAATGTATTAGTCCTCTAGTAGAATTAGATCTAGTATACTGAATGAGTTTTTTTGTATAACTAGATCTTGGATAATGTATTAGTCCTCTAGTATAACGAGATCTAGGATACTGAATGAGTCTTTTTGTATAACTAGATCTAGGATACTGAATATGACTTCTAGGATAAATAGAACTAGGATATTGAGTGAACTCTTTCAGTATAAGTAGATTTAGAATAATGTATTAGTCTTCTTGTATAACTATATACTGAATTAGTCTTTTAGTATAACTAGATCTAGGACACTGAATGAGTCGTTTAGAATAACGAGAACTAGGATACTGAATGAATCATTTACTACAACTAGAACTAGGATACTGTATGAGTCTTCTAGTATAACTAGATTTAAGATAATGTATTAGTACTCCAGTATAATTAAATCTAAGATACTGAATGAGTCATTTAGTATAACTAAATCTAGGATGCTGAATGAGTCTTCTAGTATAGCTAGATCTAGGATACTAAATGAGCCTTTTAGTATAAATAGAACAAAGCTACTGAATGAGTTTTTTTAGTGTAACTAGAGCTAGGATACTGAATGCGTCTTTTAGTATAACTAGATATAGGATACTAAATGAGCCTTTTAGTATAAATAGAACAAAGCTACTGAATGCGTTTTTTTAGTGTAACTAGAGCTAGGATACTGAATGCGTCTTCTACTATAACTAGATCTAGGATAATGTATTAGTCCTCTAGTATAACTAAAACTAGTATATTCAATGAGTCTTTTAGTATAACTAGATCTAGAATAAGTTGTTAGTCCTCTAGTATAATTAGATCTAGGATATTGAATGAGTGTTCTAGCATAAATGAATGTGAGATACTGGGTGAGTCTTCTAGTATAATTACGTCTAGGATACTGAATGGGTTTGTTTAGATCTGGGTTATAAATTGGTGAATTGATATGAAAGTTTGAAATACGCAATAACTTTTAAAAGAAAGCTTATTTTTTATGTGTGCGTGTTTGGATAGTAAAGTCCAATACAATCTAAACTTTAATATCCATTAAAATGTTTCTTCTTTGCAACCGGCTTTTAAATAATGACAATCTTCAACTGAAATATCTCTGTCTGCACAAATATCTCTTAAAGATTGCTTAAAAATTCAAAAATTAACAAAAACTCAGTTTTAATTAGATTCCGTTGTCATGATTCTATATTTACTGCTGTAAATAATATCAAAATTTCGTTATCTTATTTCTTCTAAACGTTTGTAAACATCTATCAGGACTCGAGATGATTAAAATGAAGCTTTTGATTAGAAAACAAAGACAACATTTAACATGTTAACAGGGACCGTGTCTGATTTTAATGTAATGGCATTTTGACAAGGACTTTACCATTATATATTTTTTTTCATTTTGAGTTTACTTACTGATTATAAGTATTATTTTATTACAAGTTACAGCTTTTATATTAAGATCATTCTCAATTATACAAATTTTAACGGTTAATACACGATTTAAAATATTCTACTTGTAACAGTGTATCCATTTTTAGAATAACAAATATAAGTTAGTTTTATCAGGTGAGCCACAAAACCGGTATTCGATTTCGTGTCTTTTATAAACACTGAATACTAGATGTAACGTAATATTTGAAACTTACCTGCATGCAGTAACCGAGACGTTCTATGATAATGGTGAAGTTGGGTCGTTCTTCCGGTACAGGGTGCCAACACTGCATCATGATGTGGTATCTAATTAACATAAAAAGTTAACATGAATCTACAAACCTTTATCAAACCAAAATACTAGTTAAAAAACACCCAATAAATTTGGAGATTATTTCTCACATTATGTTTTTATAAATCTCATCGGATGAGCTATTATGTTGATAGAAATACCTTACAATAAAAACAACTTTGCCGAAACATTGATAGAAATACCTTGTTGATATCGCTTGCGAAGAAAAACAACGTTGCTGAAACGTTGATAGAAATACCTTGTTGATATCGCTTGCGAAGAAAACAACGTTGCTGAAACGTTGATAGAAATACCTTGTTGATATCACTTACGAAGAAAACAACGTTATTGAAACGTTGATAGAAACATCTTGTTGATATCGTTTACGAAGAAAACAACGTTGCTGAAATACTATTGATATACTTTCATTTCTGGAACTTACGTTTCTCAAATGTATAGTATATATTATGATACTTTATCACAATTATAAGAAGTACTATATTTGTCAAATAATGAACTTTTTCCTACCCCACACCACAAACAAATAAGAAAAGAAAAATGTAACAAACAATGAAACTTTTAAAGCACGCTATTATAGTATGGGTTTAAGTCACCAGAGCGGGAACATAGTTTGTTTTTTAAATATTAAGAAAGTACACAATCCACTTTTGAATTACAATATCATGTGATATAGATTTACATAGTAATGCATGCTGTATTTTCGTAGCATGATCATACAGACCCACTGCTTGACTAATGGTACAAGACAAGCAGAACTTAAAACTTTCGTCTTTGACCTTATTAACTTCAAACGTTTTCAGGTATTGTAAGCTATGCTAGAAATACAACGCTACGCGCTAGAATTCTTGATACTTTAATCATTTCTAACCAATCCACAGATGGCCAAGTTTCATTACTGAATGAAAGAAATTTGATGTATTTTAACTAAAACACACAGGTTAGAGAAAGTCTTATTGATTACATAACGTACGAGAATGAATAAAGTTTTACAGTCATTTAAAGAAGATGACCCTCGATGAATTATTCGCAAAAGAAAAAGCATAAGCCGATACTTGACTTTTACAAAATGATATTGTTTAATTTATAAGATATATAGATGTATATAAGAGGCATTAAAGAAAATAACATATAAAACTTCAAGAAACATTAATATCAGTTATATGTATGTAAAGTGTTGAATTGAATGTAGGGAAAGATATCTAATGATTACATTAAGAGGAATCTATAATCAGAGTGTGAGAATATTATTTAACTGTGTCGAAAAGAATTTAGATAGCTTGAATATGTTAGATAAATAAATAAATAGGGATTTGAAAACATTCAATGAATGAATGAAAATGGGCATAATTAGATAGTTTAAACAATATATATATATATGTGTATATTAAGAGAAACTTTTTCAGAATCTGAGAATAATATATTACAGTATTAAGAATGCACAATAAAAATCTGAAAATGGTGTAAACTATGTGAAAGGAAACCTGAAAACAGATAGATACAGGAAGAATATCTTGATATAAATCTGAAATAATATATGCAAGTTCAGAATGGGAAATTGAATCAAATTTGGGAACAACACAAAAACAGATAAGTACGAAAGAAGAACGCTCAAGAGCTGTGAAACGATAAACATCTGCAGAAAACAAAATACTTTAGAAAATAACAGATTGTTGCAGAAAGAGGAATCTAAAAACGATAGATAAATACAGAAAGAAACACTTTATTAGAATTTGCAAACAATAGTTTGTTATCTAAAGAAAAAATATGAAAATAATAAATATCTGCAGGAAGTGAAGCTAATATTGGAACCTAAAAATAATAGATAGTTGAATGAAAGGGGACCTGATCACAATCTGAAAATCATACATAACTGCAGAATGTGAAACTTGACATGAAACTTAAAAATAATAAATATTTATTTTAAATGAAACCTCATCATAACTGGAAACAACAGGTACTATAAAAAGAGTCACTTATATACAGGCAATAGATAGTTAAAGCAAATAGCAACTAATAAGAAGGACTGTCTTCCGATCAGGATCTGTGAGCAGAAGGTTCCTAAATACAGTAAGATGCCTTACAGAAACTAGTAATAAACAGCTTCAGAACTAATTGAATTACCAGAAACTAGTAATAAATATCCTCAGAACTAATCGAATTACCAGAAACTAGTAATAAATATCTTCAGAACTAATCGAATTACCAGAAACTAGTAATAAACAGCTTCAGAACTAATCGAATTACCAGAAACTAAAAATAAACATCTTCAGACCTAATTGAATTACCAGAAACTAGTAATAAGCATCTTCAGAATTAAGCGCCTTACAGAAACTAGTAATAAACAGATTCATAATTAATCGAATTATAGGAAACAATAATAAACAGCTTCAGAACTAGACGCCTTACAAAAGCTAGTAATAAACAGTTTTAGAACTAATCAGATTACCAGAAATTAGTAATAAACAGCTTCAGAACTAGGCGCCTTAGAGAAGCTAGTAATAAACAGCTTTAGAACTAATCGACTTACAGGAAACAGTAATAAACAGCTTCAGAACTAGGCGCCTCAAAGAAGCTAGTAATAAACAGCTTCAGAACTAATCGAATTACAGGAAACATTAATAAACAGCTTCAGAATTAGGCGCCTTAGAGAAACTAGTAATACACAATTATAGTATTTTGGCACGTGTGTATATTATTTATGATTTTAGTAATACACAAGTTCAGATCTAGACGCCTTACAGAAACTAGTAATAAACAGATTTTAGAACTAATCGAATTACAGGAAACAGGAATAAACAGCTTCAGAACTAATCGTATTACAGGAAACAGGAATGAACAGCTTCAGAACTAGGCGCCTTAGAGAAACTAGTAGTAAACAACTTAGGTGCCTTACAGAAACTAGTAATAAACAGCTTCAGAACAAATCGCATTACACGAAACAGTAATAAACAGCTTCAGAACTAGGCGCCTTAGAGAAACTATTAATTATGAGCTTTAGAACTACAGGAAACAGTAATATAACAGCTTCAGAACTAGGCGCCTTAGAGAAGCTAGTAATAAACAGCTTCAGAACAAATC